CAAAAACAATTTAAATATACTCTCCCAAGTAGGAATTCAGAATTTAAGAATCAGGCCAAAAGAATGACTTTCATAGGTTCACCATAAATCAAGGTAAAGAAAAAGCACCTGAAAAGAGTACCGGAGCTGAACAATAAAAGGGTGAACCACTTTAGTGAGAATATCTCTCTCGGCTTTCATATAATCCACATGATTCTTCTTTATGATCGTCTCCTTCCGCATCACCTTCATTGCAAAAATGCCATCACCATGACCACCACCACCCTCCTCTCCATCCAAACGGTCACTCTTTTTCCTTACCTGAAAGACCTTCCCGAACGCGCCCTGCCCCACAACTCTCAAAATTTCAAAATCCCCAGGTCCGATTTTGCAGACCATTTCTCTCCAGAATCACTCACACCCACTTGCTTTTCGCCAACTACACAATCAGTTCCAAGCCCACTTCCGCCGTCAGTTTCAGTCTCGCCGTCGCTCTGAGAATCAAGTTCATCAACAAACGCCAGGAAATTGGAGGACTGGGCAAATCGAGGGGAGGGTCCCACAAAAGAGTGGGACCTACTCTGAATAACCTGTGGGCTACCAGGAATGGCAGTGGATGGAGATGGATTGGGATCGTGAGAAGAAAAAGGCGGAAAGTCGAAATCATGGTGAGTGGAGGAGGAGGAAGAAGGTATGGTAAGCTTGCCAAGGTTTGCAGCAAGGAGGGAGTGAAGGCTTTTCTTCTGAGACGTGGACACCATTATCAGGCACTTGATAGTTCCTCGGGGCCACAATCACGAACGGAAGAGAAGATGGAGACGGACCAGGACAAACGCGGGACGACGCTGATAAAGGTGACAATAATTGATACAAAGTACAGAATGATTCCGAGAAGCGATCAGAGTGGAACTCCTCAAGCCTGGCTGTCATTGCATGACGCGCTATTCGGATTGGTGAACATCACGATCTTTGCGTCCCTGCTCCCCCATGATTATCTTGTTTATTTTATTGCCCACCGTGATCATCATTATCATTATCAATAATAATAATAATAAAACTTTACACCCCGACCGTATTTGCAATTTTGCAGCTGTGGAGAGTTTGGTGCCTCCTATTTTTAATATAAGATTTTATTTAATTTTTATTTTGATTTTAAATATAAAATTTCAATTTATTTTGTCTTTTATATTTATATATATTTTTTAAAGTAATCATTCTAATAATGATAGTTCTAGCCAATACATTTTATTAGTAAAGATATTTTATGAAAGATAACACTTATTTAGAACAAATAACTAATTCAACTTAGTTTTTAATCTCCTCAAATTAGTCAACTAGTTCTTATAATTAGGACCGGTGGGTAGTATTACTTAAAAAAAATACTTTCAAACATAAAATTATTTTTGAAAAGATAATCCAAACATTAATATCTAATCTTATTTGCAGCTAAAATGATACTTTTTCATTCTAATTAGTAATTACAAGCATATTTGACTAACTTCATTGCTTCTTAGAATTTAAGAAACGATGGTCAATGGTCCCGTTTAGCAAAGTGGTAGAAATCTCTTACAAGCACGTTTCATGTAAGTTGAGATAAAACTCTTCTCACATACTTCTCTTGTATTTCGTAAATCACCATTGAAAAGCAGTTTATAACTACATATAAGATATTCAATCAGGCCCAATATCCTTAAATTTATTAGAAAATGTAACGTTTTTTACTTTTACTTTCTTACCAAAGGTAATGATCACAGTCGAATGTTGTCTAGAAATCATATCAACAATCTCATGAGATATATCAACACAATTTTTTTGTCAAGAATTATAGGAAATTCTTAAGAGTGCAGATGCTGTGCATGATAGACCGTTATTTCAGGTTATTGTTTGCCTTTTGAAGCTCGTGTTTCTATATATGGCCAAATGAGTTCCACCACCCAAACCTTTGGAGCCTTGTTTCTTAACATATCCACCTTCGTCACTTCCTTCTTCCTTCGTTGCAGAAACGTTCAAGGAGAGAAAGATAGAAGAATAGAGAAAAGAAAGAGAAAAAGATCGTGATCTCCTTAGGGCTCATCCTATCTGGGTCATGATCTTTTTCTATCTTGCTAACTTTGATATCCTCATCTATTTTCTGGTTCTTTCGCAATCCACACCACTAAATTTCATCACCCGCGACATAAAGAGAAAACCACCATGGCCGCTCGATCATTGATTCGCTTTGTTGAGGAAGAACTACACTTCTTGGTATACACAGTACTTGAATGGATGTTGATAGGTATTCTTTTCCTCAATGAGTTTCTAACTTTCGCTGCCAATGAGTTGGCCTTCTTCTTCCATATGAAAATCCCATGCCTGCTCTGTTCCAGCAATAGTGATCACGTTGTGGTTCACAAGGACTCCAACTGTTACTGCAACTACTCCATATGTGAGTTTCACAAGAAGGGTATATCGTCCATTGCGTATTGTCATAATCACAAGAAACTCTCTGATATAAGAAAGATGTGCGAAGGTTGTCTTCTTTCATTTGCAACGGAAAAGGAATCAGATTGTGATACCTACAAGTCTCTTGTTGGGGTTCTGCATAAGGATCTGGAATGCTTCGTTGGGGATGACATAGAAATTCAGCTGGGTTTGACTAATGATTATGTTTACGAAGAAACAAGCAATACCCAGAAATGTTCGTGTTGCGGACGGCCATTGAAGGTGAAGAAGTTCTTTCATCAAAAAGCCAAAAATGCAGTCACATTTTCACAAGCTTCAGCTCCAGCTCCTTCGCTTAAAGTTAATTCATGTGGGACATGTAAACAAGCCATGCCAAAATTTGATTCTTCAGAGCTTGATGATAAATGTGAGCGTAAAAAGTAAATTTGTTGTGTTCATGTGTCTGCAGTTTGATTAATAAGCCAAGAAATATCACTGACAGTGCCTCAATTTTCTTGACAGTGAGGAAGATACGAAGGGTGCTTCTGTACTTCTATTGACAGAAGCTGATAATTTGAAGGCAAGAACGAGGCCTCGTCATTTCCAACGGGTAATGAATTTTTTGGAACCCCACATGAAGATTTTGCTCCCAACAGTCCCAGATGTTATTACAGGATCACCAGCCAATCAACATCGGAGAAAACGGGATGTACACCTGAATCTAAGGAGGGAAGTGTTTCAAATAAAGGAGAGGATCAAGCCACCTTAAACCTTTCGAACAGACAAGTCCGTCTGGATAGAAAGCCGCTCATGTCTTTGTATATGGAACTGGATGAAGAAAGAAATGCTTCGGCTGTCGCTGCTAACAATGCAATGGCTATGATCACGCGTTTACAGGCTGAGAAAGCAGCGATACAGATGGAGGCTTTACAGTATCAGAGATTGATGGAGGAAGAAGTAGAGCATGATGAAGAGTCCCTGCGTGAAACTAATGAGATGCTACTCAAAGAGAGGAAGAAGTGATGGAATTAGAGAATGAGTTGGCTATTTACAGAGAAAAATATGGAAGCTTAATGGAAGATGATGACTTTCAGCAACTCAAAAATGGGAATACAGAGGACTGCCAACAGTTCAATTCACAAACTCATCTATCCCACAGAAGTAACATCTCTTCATCCAAGCTCCATGATTGTGAGGATAAGAAAGGAAAAGACCTCGATGGTCATCAAGCAGTACCAACTCAGGTTAATTTTGAAGAAGATAAAACATATTTTCACGGCTGGATGAAGAAACAAGAAAATAAAGCTCACTTGGCAGAAAATGGGAATCGGAGTGTTAATATTGCAGACAACGAGACAGGTAAAATAACAAGTCAACAGCTCGCCAATTTGGCTAGGTAAGATTCTACTGTTCTTGATAGATGTCACTATTTCTCACTATGGTTTTGATGTGGCAGGAAAAGGAATCCAAGCTTCACTAGCATAAGTGTCCTGACTCTGCTGGAACAAAATAATGATATTATATAGGATATACTTGGAATTGGAATGATGGCAGTGGTAATTGTAAGGTGTTCAAGCTTTATATGCTTTGCCCCGAACAGCTCAAGTATCAGATAAATAGATGTTGATAGTAATTTTATTCTCTCTCTCACGGATACGTCTGTAATTGTTGTATAATAGAAATCAACTAAGGGAATTCAAAGTTAATGTGCTTATAATATGCTGAATATCCCTACATAATAGGTTTGTACTGTTCACATTCATTGAGCATTATCATACAAGATTTGATTTGGTTAGTACTCCTCCGGTCCTAAATATAAACTCATTTTTGCACTATATTTAGACCGGAAGAGTATTTTATATGGATTGTTTTGAAACTTCCTTTGGCATTAGTTTGTACGTATCTTAAATGGAAATTAAATACATGCTGCAGGATCTCAAGCTTCAAGAAGCTTATAGTCTGATCTTCTCTTTCCTTAGGGATTTCTAATGTTTGGTATAATCACAAAAGAACACTCAATGATTTAAACATGTAAATAACATCACAAAAATGGTAAGCGGCAGGGTGCACCTAAATCTATATAGATCCGCTTTACACTCTGCACGAAGTCGTCGATAAGAGTGTTAATCATCATCACTTTATAAATTGATATTTAACGAAAGTGTAATGAGTTCGTTCAGATGGAATAATGACTGGTTTTGTTGTTACTATGCATGCTATAAGATCAACACTTGATTAGATTGAAGCGGTTACTTAAAGTGTGGATTTAGCTTAGCTTTAAGACAATAATATGATGAATGATAAATTTCAGTAATTGCAGGCTAAATTTAGTTCGCAAAACATAGACACAATTATTTCTAATGATGTCAATTATTGACTAACCCAGAAAAAATTAGTGACCAACTTTTTGGTTCACCAATCACCACAATCTAAGTATAGGGTACTACAGTACATTTTTGTCTGTTTACTATCGTGGAGTAAATTTATGCTTAGTGTTAGAGAGACTACTAATTTATTGATCTATTCTTTTAAAGAATAAAAATTTAGCCTTTCAATTTTGGCATTAAATGAAGGGACCCTAGTAGCTTCGAGCGCGCACGTTTTTTAAGACAAATTAGCTTTCTCACAGTCCGTCTCTGCCAATTACAACAATTCACTAACTCGTAGTGTCTATATTAGTTTCCACTCGAAAGACACAAATACAAGAGCTGCTAATAAATACCCAATTGCGCCACAAAGAAAACAAATCAGGTGAAAGGGATCCTATAATAACAGAGTTTTAAAACGAAAACCACACTAAGATTGTTGCTGATGGCAAATAGAGTGAAGCACAGTGTGCTCTGTCAGAAGATGCACAATGAGATTACAAGCACTTCCTACTTAATGATACCATATTATAACAGGGGACACACAGACCAAAGACATTCTATACCAATTGACTAAGTTGTTAATTGAACATATACTAAGCAACCGATCCCCTTGAACTATGTTGCTCTCTCGAAACCGCCACCTATCTGCATTTGCAGCCATCCGAGTTGTGTTCCCTGAGCATACGTCCTGCCTGCTTGTGATCCCAATATCATTCCAGCAACGTCAAGTGTCTGAGCACCAAGCTGAAACACCAGATCAGCATGTTAAAACTAATTACTTGTTTGGAGAACTAACAGTCATAAAGAAATTATGCCATAGGGAAATGATATGGCTCTCTGCAACATTATCAAGGCCAAATAGTCTAAATTGAGAAGGTTTTCCTTAATTAACACCGCAAATATTTTGAAATAGTGAAAGATCGTACGGGGTGATTGGCATCGCCTTTTTTAAGTTACTTTGATTCATGATTCACAAGGAGTCATTACACACCCAAAAAGTAAGTTGCGTTAGGACTAGTATAAAGAAGCTGAGCACAAAGTCCTCGAGCCCAGAAGCAGTGAGTCTCCAAGAAATACTCAAAATGAATTAATTTTTCATTTGAAGTAATTAATGAAAGGAAAGTTAACATTGTCTGTAAATTGGGACAACTTTATTCAGCTTCATGCATATGTTAGGTTGTGAATGGAAATTAGATTGTTAAATGAAGAAGATAACTTTGCACTGAAAAGGAAGTTAATTGTGAATTAACATTTCCCAGAACACATAATAAAGAGTTATAAATCAAAAGCATATGTACGAGAATCTGAAAAGTAAATTTGAGTGTGCAGACCAATCTTAACATCAGTAATGTGAAGAGTATACTTTAGCAAATGATGCGACACAAACAATACATGAAAATCGAAGCACTAAACAATGCAAAGCCCAATTTATAACTGAGGTAGGAAAAGTGCAGTGTTAAAAGATAATATGCTTAACATCAATCCCATGCATGCTATTAGAAATGGCTTTCACGTAAGAAGTCAATATGCTTATCATCAAGTAAAGCCAGCAGGCTTACATCCTTTGAAGGGAACCCTTCAATAGTGGGGCTTGTGGTCATTCTTGAATTAACTGCTTCAAGCTTCATCGAAAGAAACTACAAAATTTTATGCATCGCACATAAGATTTGAGATGTAAAGAAAGGAAATAATTAGTGAGGGGCAATAGTGATAGAGATAAAAGGTGAGAATATTCACCTCAACCTGCCGCTGCAGTGATTGAATATAATTGATTATCTCATCCAGGACAAGTGCTTTACCAATTACCTGCAAAGAGAGAAAATATGTCAAATACATTCAATAAGGGAAACAAGCTATGAGGGAATGGCACAATTAATACTACCTCCGGTCCTAATTATAAGACCTGGTTTGACCGGAAGTGGTATTTATTATCATTTAGTTACAGAACTTAAAAGAAAAGGTAATTGAAAGCGATAATCCAGCACAAATTCCACATAATATTATCCTTGCCTTGTTACATCCAGGGACCAAATCTTGTAGAATTTTCATCCTCTCGCTGATCTTTTCCCTTCTTGCCTGCCAAAACCGATGTTTCAACTTTCAAGTGACATGAACCATCTAAAAACACCTCTGGGTGTCTAACAGCATTTAAAGCTTAGTGAAGATAGCAGATAGAAGAGAACAGTGAAATACTCTTTCTGCAAGACTGTGGCTATCAGTAGCTTGGCCTCTTCTTGCTCTCACGTGTATATAGTCTGGCTTAGGTGGCTCAGGAGGTTTAGTACCCTGCTCACCTGACTTGCTACCAGCTACTGAACTTGCGTCTGCCTCAGCCTTCAGACTACCATTTTCATCCTTGGATGCTCCTAATTTTATCCGTTTATTGCCAGGATCATTCTGTACCAATATGAGCATACATCACAAATCAGATTCAAAAACTGAAATCAGGAAAGACCTGCAAGATTCAAAGCTCATTCCAAATTTATAGGGATTTCATACCATTTACTTCATATAAGTTTATCCTTGCATCATTATCAAGGAAACACTGTAGCTCAGTTCAGGTAGAATTAAAAGAAAAACAAAAGTCTATAAAATAAAAAAATTCCAGAAGAAGAAACGGAAACAAAACAAACACACTTTTCACAGGGAAAGGCATACCGAAGATGCTAGCCTATCCCTATAATCCTACACATGGAGTTCATCTTTGACCAATGACACGGAAAAGGAGCAAATTTTAATTTGACCAATTTTTTAATCCTCGCAGTGGGAGCCCCTTACGAAAGCCATTCATCTCGGACAATACTGTGGTTGGAAAGTAGGACTATAATTTAAGGAATTCCGACAATTCCGGCGGCATACAACATCTACATCTTTTCATCATGCCAGATCAAAGGCTAAAGAAGAAGTAATCACACAAACGCTCCATCGTTTCATTAACCGCGACCCCAGAAGGGGGGAAAAGAAGCAGCAAAATTCAGACCCAAAGACATCAAAATTTATGTTCTCCCCTATTCCATTCGCTATCTGAGGAAATGAGCAGAGAATTAAAGCAGCAAATCATCAAATTAAGCTGAAAATGAAGACCAACCAAATCATTGGCACTAATCATGGAAACCATCTTTGAGGACTCGTCCTCAGAGGTGGCATCTTTCCTCTTCCTGTGATTCCCTCCGCCGCCGACGCTCTGCTCCGTGACGGTGGACTCCTCGGCTGAGCCATCTCGATGGAGGGAATTATTGGAAAAGGAGGCCAAGTTGTGAGGCAGATGGGGCATTCGGAGACCCAATCCAGGTCCGGCAGAGTGGTCCCCAGGGAAAGGCCAAATCTCGGTGAGACTATACGCAGAAGGGTTAGCGTGGGAGAATGTAGACTCGTTGATGAGTGGAGGATCCATAGGAAGAACCGAAATTCATTCAAACCCAGAATTCCCAAATTGAGATTTGCAGGGGAAGAAGTGAGTGAGCAATGAGTATGATGAGCGAGTTGGGTGAGGGAGAGATAGAGAGAGTAGAGAGTGTGTGTGTGTGTGTGTGTTGAGTGAGGTGAAGAGATTATTTAAGTTGTAATTAGGAGGGAGAGGAGGCTCGGAGTTTAAAAGATGGCAACTGTTAATGGATGACGAAGACAATGAGAGAGAGTCACAGAGAGAGAGAGAAGCCTGTGACCTTCCTTGGCAGGACTAGCTCGGAGGGAAGGATGGTAGCGCATTGCGCCCACGGCGCTTTTTAATCCATTGCCTCCGAATCTGCTCTTCTTCTTTTTTTTTTTGGCCCGTAAATCTACCTCCCCATCTAGGCATCTACAAACTTGCACAGCTTTATACCAAAGTAATAAGCTAAATTACGCACTTTTCCAAAAATTATGTCTACTTTTATTTCTAAAATTGACCCCAGGATATTAAAATTAGATATATTATATTATTTTTAAATAAAATATAATTTTTTAAAAAAATTTCCCCAATTCTGTATAAAAATTATACAAACTAATTTGACCAAACTCTAAAGAAAATATTCATAATTTATGTGTTTTTAAAAAATAAAGAATTAATATCGTTTACTTGGATAATAATAACAGCAGAACTGTTAATGGATGACAAAGAGTCAGAGAGAGAGTCAGAGAGAGAGAGATAGAAGCCTGTGATCTTTTTTGGCCGGACTGGCTCGGAGGGAACGATGGTGGCGCATTGCGCCCCCGGCGCTTTTTAATCCATTGCCTCCGAATCTACTCTTCTTCTTATTTTTTTTTTTTTTCTGGCCCGTAAATCTACCTGCCCATCTAGGCATCCATTGCACAGCTTTATGCCAAAATAATAAGCCAAATTACGCATTTTTTCCATGTGATTAATAATCAAAAATTATGTCTAATTTTATTTCTTAAATTGAACCCAGATTATTAAAATTAAATACGTTATATTTATTTTTAAATAAAATATAATTTTAAAAAAAATTCCCCAATTCTATGTAAAAATTATACAAACTAATTTGATCAAACTCTAAAGAAAATATTCATAATTTATGTGTTTTTTAAAAATAAAGAATTAATATCGTTTACTTGGATAATAATAACAGCAGAACACTGGCATTCTCGCATACGGTAGCTGATAGTTGATATAGCATCAACAAGAGTTCGGTAAAAAGGTTAATAATACCTATTCAAAGGTTTTTTTTTTAACTACGCAAAAAAATATTAAAAAAAGGAATAAACTGCAAAATTTATAATTCTTTTTTATTTTACCCAGTCATTGGCAAATGTCATAACTTGTTTCTTGTTGTGATCGATTCTTTTGTTAGTTATCGTCTGCGTCACAACGACGTCCATATAATGAACTACCACTATATGTGTACATTATTTAAGATTTATGAACAGGAAGATCACATTATCTATAAATTATTAATTATTAATAAATCCAACTCACTTCACTTCAAAATCTATATCAGATGTTGGATCGTATTAAAGCCAAGAGTTTAATAGGGCTGAAATGTTGATCCAGAGGGGCTCAAAGCAGACGATAAGTATGAGAGGGGTGATTTCTTTTTTTCCAAAGGAGATAAATTAACAAAACATAAAAACTATAGATATGATTGAAGTAAAAGGTATAAAACTGAATCTTACAGAACAAATAGATATTGAACAGACAGAGAGGGATATAACGTCCATCCTGTTAGATATTGATATAGGGATTTTGCTTTCATATGATTGAGAGTGGTGCATAGCGCGCCCAATGTCCCACCACTAATATGGACTATCTCCCATATGGAAAATATTTATCAAACCCAATTGAATTTGAAATAGTATTAAGAAGTTAAAAAGTGTATGTCTAACCCAACAATCTAATGCTTCACAATGTCTTGAATTCATATCAAGAGATGTATTTACATTTGGCATCTGATAGTACCTGAATCATGATTACTTCTAATAAGAAAATACCATGTCTAGTAAAAATATATATATATATTGCAAACAAAGGTTATCAAATTAATAATAACTTATCTCATAATCCACAAGATTGTGAATCCAAATATTGCTGTCAATTCGAAGACTGTATTGGTTAGCAAACTATAGGAACTTTTATCAGTGTTTTGTATGCATGTCCTCATCCTATTGATCTCCTGAACACCAATTTACTTAAAATTTTTGTCATATTAAAAAAATATATATGTTGAAACTCGAAAACATGTGGCATTTTGCATGAGAGGAGTGAGGGATTGATTTGGGTAATTTTTAATGAAAATTTAATAAATATTAAACAGAAACATCTCTATCATTTGTCAAAGGGAAAAATAAATACATATAGAGTAGAGAGCCCTACAGTACAGTAAGAAAAAGGCAGCGGTAAAAATGTTGAGGAATTGCATGAGATGTGACTTATGAAGATTTTGTGTGGTGATAGGGAATCATTTGATATCTCCTAATTATAATGATGCTGGGATCCTTTGCTTAATTGCAATTTGCAATGGCCATGATTCCCTTCAAGTCTAAAACTCCTCAACTATAAACCCCAAATTAGCCCCTATCCCTATCTCAATTTCATCTTCAATTCTCTATTTATTTAATACTACTAAAATAAAATAATCAGAACTCCAGAGCTTGATATAGTTTGTAACAAGAAATCAAACAATTGTCATTTCTTAATAGATAGGGAAAAGTTCACATTTTTAACATTTGTCCATATGCATTCCACTCTTATCACCTAAATTAGTCTTATGTGGAACCATTTTTTATATTTTACCACTGATTCTTTAATTAACAATGATGGTAATGTAATAAATATATTTTACATATAATGTGTAAATTTTGCAACTCAAAATTGAATTATTAATTAGAATTCTGATTCTTGGGTTGATTAACAGAAATTTAATTTTTGACATAAAGGTGTCGCCTTATTTAATCTACAATCATCTTAAGGTTTGGTAAATAGCTTATGCTGCATATAGTCTTAGCAATCGATTTTCATGACTGAGAAACAACATAACTTATTAACTTTGATACATGGGATTGACTTGGTAAGTTACAAACATCAATGTAAATATAACATATACAGTGGGTAGTATTCTAGCTACTTGTTTGAAACTGCTTAATATAAACACTTATAAATATTTTTTGAGACGAAACTTTCCCACAAATATATCTCTTAAACTACGATTGAAATTTTATTTTGGAAGGCATCAATCGTCATCCTAAACAAACTTCTAATGCTACCCATAATAAAATAATATTGTAATAGCTAGAAAAACCTTCCTCTTAAAAGCCTAAACACCTAAATATAGTGTCTTGCCTAACCCATCAATCATGGATTACACAAAAATAAGGAAAACAGAAAAGCAAAAGAAAATGACCTACTAGGCAGGACTCGTCATTACCTAACTAGCTTAGCACAAAAAGTGCTAATCATACAAGCAAAGCTGAAGTAAAGGCAAGAAAGTAAGTGTCTGATAAGGCAAATATGGGGTTTAGGAGGTTGAGAGGTGTGAGAGGAAATTAATACAGGACCAAATTAAAGAAGCCAAGGTGGTGGGTATTTTTGTGAGATTTATAATTAGAAACGTGTTAGATTTTGATTTGGGATTCTCTTTGGAGGGAAGCAACTTGAGATGTAAAGCACATGGATTTTAAAGATTTAACCTTTTCACTTCAATATGGTCTCAGTCTCACATACGCAAACTTAATGAATGCCAACGACTTACTACTACTTGGATTGGAGCATCCAAGTTTGGTTAGGTAACACGAATGTGGTTCCCTAGACAATGAGGAAGGCAACTGATTTAGACAGCCACAAGTTCATATATCTATCATCAAAACTAGGTGGATAGGATACCTCCAAATTTACAGGAAAATTATACTACTTCCTATTCTTCATATAAGAATTAGTTTAACTTTTAGTTTGGTTCTAAATATAAAATTAATTCACTTTGTCTTTAACATTTATCTATTTTTTTCTCAAGTAATCCCTCTAATAGTTACATATATTAAGGAGTTACTATCAATTTGTAATTCAAACACACATAATTAATAAGAGCATTTTAGAAAAAACATTATTTACTATAAATAACTAATTTTTTTAATTTTTCCAAATCAATCAACTATGTCTTATATTAAGACCGGAGTTAGTATTGTTTAAGGAAGAATTGTTATGAGATCCCAAAGAAGAAAAATAAATACAAAGTCTCAATCACAAGTGGGATGTTGTCATTTCGTACATGAAATTTGTTATTGCAAAGTGATTTGTTGTCACTAGGACTTTTTAGTATTGTATTTTTTTCTTGGGACTTCATCATAATTTTCCATTGTTTGACCCAAAATTAGTTAGGACGATTATTGCTTGTGATCATAATATTTTTTTTATCATCACTCTAGTTTTTTTTTTAAATGTATCCCTGTTTTAATTTTTTTTCTTTGTCACTTTAACTTTTTGGTATTATTGATAAGGCACAGACTAGGTTGTAACATTAGATTAGAATTAGAATCGCAGTAAAGACGCAAATACCAGGTCCGGATGTCATGGAAGGTGACTGAGAAAGGAGAGGTAGAGATGAAAAGAAGGTAGAAATGGTAGGTAGAGAAGAAGAAGCAATGTTTGAAGAATGAGCATGCATTGTCAATACGGATCATCCAAGGACAAAATAAAATATCACTATCAATTCAACCTTTAAATATTTTATCAAATAAAAATAAAAAACTAGGCAAAATTAATTGATTGTTTTAAAGTTACCTCATCTTTCCACAATTACACTTAATTAGATGCAAATTATTTGATCATCTCTCTTAATATCTCTCTAACGCAATCACTTAGCAATATCCATAACAAGAATACCATAAGAAGAAGAAAAAAAGTAAAAGAAAAGAAAACTTGCCAAAAATTCTCCCATTAAAATACAGTAGAATTACAATGAAGTCCAAAAAAAAAAAATACAAAACAAATTTTAAAAATTATTATTTTTTATTCTAAAACTTGTCATTACAAATTACTTAGGTTGTTATTGGGACTTTTTAGTAATTTTTTTTTTTTGGGACCTCATTAAAATTCTCCCTTAAAATATTCATTGCCTACAGCTACCTAAATTTTTTTTAAAGAGCCAAGTCCTTGAATAGGTATAATATATTTAAAGGTCCAGTTCTTCTTTAGCTACGTGTAAAATGTCTTTCGTTTTGTTCACGAAATTAAGATGTATGCAACTCATTTTTATTTTTGTGCAAAAGTTTTAAAAAAACGACAGACATTTGTGAATAGCTGAAGATTTTGGAGACCTTAAACAAAATTTCTAGAGCATGACATAAATAAGAAATTTATAATAATAAAAGTGTAATTCAATTCAAATTTGAATTGAGTGCAGAAAAGAAATGGTGTAGTTTGCAATAAAGGACAAAGTGGGTTTTAGATAAACTTGGGACAAAGAGCAAACAACATGTGTCTACTTGTGAAATTCACATCAGAAAGCCGGCCGCTGCTTCCGGATGAAGCACATGTAATCTTCACTCCCCTTTGCTTCTTTCTCATTATCATCACAGAGTTCAGTGTACCTTTTTCCTTACTGTGACATCTTCGACTTCTGAAATTGAATGTGCTCCTTGGAGAATGGCCCCTGCTTGGAGCAGTCAACGAAAATTAAGGGCTGGCTTCTGTGTTTTTTTTTTAAAATCAAATTAAATCAGAAAACGTCTACTATTTTGACCAAGCTTTGAAGTTCAATGACATTGAACAGGAAATTATGCTCAGATAAGAAAAATAGAAGACATTAGGTTAAACCTTATTCACGTGTTTCATCTACTGACTAAAATTTGAAAATAAAGCAGTACTATTTAACAATATAAAATACTACTACCTCCAGTTCTTAATACAAGATTTCGTTTGACTTTTATTTTAGTCCTGATTATAATACCTCAATTTACTTTGTCTCTCATATTTATGTATTTTTTTCCAAGATAGTCTTTTTAATAATGATAATTCTATCTAATACATTTGATTAGTAAGGATATTTTAGAAAATATAACACATATTTATTATAAATAATTAACTTAACTTATTTTTTTAATCTCTCTAAATTAGTTAACTAGTTCTTATAATTAGGATCAAAGCTAGTATTACATCTTTAAATAACTATGAAATGGTTAGGCCGAAAAGTACAAAATATAAAACTGAGTTCAATAACAGCCCAATGGAGCACTTTTGAAAATAATGTTTTATTCGTGTTTTTCAGCTATTAATTACCACTCTATTAGGCTAGGACTGGAAACACCTGAGTCCTGCCCCCCATTGGGCCGACCTGTGGAGGCCCAAATTATTTGAAGCCGAAGTGAAAACTATTTTCTGCTTCGGGCAACTTCAGTAATTTTGACCAATTCAAAAACGCAAATCGTAATAATTTTTCTTTAGGGGAAAAATTGCAGTAAGATCCCCCAGGAGAATTAAATATAAAAAGATCTTTTGAAATCGTCAAATTAATCCAAAGTCTCAAGGGATCTCATTGCAAGAGATTCTATTTGTTTAATTACTAAATTATCCTTATCTTTTTTTTTAATATATATTGACAATTGTAAGAACAATCGTTAAAAACTTAAGGTGTAATGATTAAAAATTATTACTGTAGATATTAACAATATATTTTTTCAGCACATTAGAAAAAATACAGTGTATGAGTTATCAATACCTACCGCGATAGTTATTAATTGTTACCTCTTAAATTGTTAACGTTTGTTCTTTTACTTGTGAATGCATACTTAAAAAAATATAAAGGCAATTTAGTAATTAAATAAACAGAATTTCTTATAATGAGATTTTTTGAAACTTCAGGTATATGGAATCTTATTGCAATTTTCTTTTCTTTGGGGCTTTTCATTTCCTTTTCCTTTGTTTTCTGTTCCATGTCGTCTTCCGGTCCTATGGGGGCGGGGATATTGATTATATAATGATGCTCCATAGTCCATAGCCCATACGATAGTACACAAGTCGGGTCAAATTGATTCAACGATCGGTCGGCCCGTTTTGATTAAAACAAAGTAGATTTTTTCCAATATTTTGGGTCATTATTCACTCCTAGGGAGATTTCAAACAACATAACAGAAACTTTTAACTTTTTTGCCCCACAGAAATATATTTTGACAGTTTTACGCAGGTTATACTCTGGCAATAAGACGCATGCATCTAGGAGAACTTACCACTTTAAGTTTGAGCTAACTCAAAGTCAATACAATTTTTCAGATAGTAGATGATCTGTCCCTAAAAAAAGTACTAGTACTCCCTAAATATAAAATCTAGTTTGTAGTATCAATTATATTTCAAATTTGATCTTATATTTAAAACCGAGAACAGTATTAGTTTAGCATTATTTTTTTATGTCATAATTCACATACCCTTTATACCTTTATGAATTCATAATCTCACATTTAAATAAGTCTTAAAAAATGCTTGTAGTTAGTTGGAGTATAAGTCTCCACTTGTATAGCACAAGTTGTTTATATATCCTACTACTATACAGGAGTACACCTAAAAAAGTGTTTTTATACAAATCAAGTTAAAATTCTTCTTAAATGTATTTATCTCACACCCTGTAAAATTATTTTTAAAAAATTAATCCAAATATAATACAGAAAAGGTATGTTTCCTGAAAAATAAAAATTATTCAAATGATGGACTAGCTTGGTCTTACTTTTCAGTTTTCTAGAGCAGTGCGTCCCAATTATTGCACGCAAAGGCGTATAAGTATACTGTATTATGCTTCACTGGGGACCCTACGACGGGAGCAAACGAGGGAATGGGGGGATGGTTCGTTGTTTTGTAGGGATGCCTTAGATTGCGTACCCCAACCAACCTTATAATAACAAGCACAAACATTTAGGAGATCTCAGTGGCACTTTTGAGATCCTAGTTAGATCCCAGTGCCCTCTAAACTTGCCAAAGTACAAATCCCATAGGGCTATGTTGCCTTGTAATTTCAGCTTCTTCCAGAAAGTGAGATTGAGCCCTCGCAAGTAGCGAGTTCTTCGCTTCCACCGTGTCATTCATTCCAAAAGTAGGATTTGACAGCTCTCCAAGGAATCCAAATGCAAATCATCTCAATTATTAGTATACTTATTAACATATTATAAGAGTGAATGTTTCACTTTTTTCACCTGTGTTTAATAATTTCTGGGTAAACTGGTACTGTACCTTTTCCTCCTGCAAGTGAATAAGGTATATGAACTATGACGGAAGACCTGGCAGATGAACGAGACCTCTGGTTACCCCGCAAGTTCATTCAAACATCAAATTTAATGCGGTGGACCCCAGTTACATCTGAAATTTAAATGATTCACAAATTTGCAGGCTAATTAATGAGAGTGAGAGAGACGAGAGAATAACACTAAAATCATGAAAATGCAATGTCACAACCAAAGTTCTCTTCTCTGTTTCTTTCTTTGTTTTATCAAAATCCCATGTGGGTGCCCAAATTCAATTCATCTTTCTGCTCTGAAACACACTTCATTTCATTCACTAGCCATATGAGTTTCTGGACTCATGAAACGTGTACGCAATTTCAACCTCAATCATGTAACATCACCGTTTTAAAACCTAACGGCTATTCCATTTACTCACTTGAACAAGCAAAAGGAACAAGAATACAGACTTCCAATCAAAATTGGAACTTTCAAAGACAGATGGACATGGATAACGACAGCTAAACAAAATTTCAGCTTAATCCTTTAATTTTTTTATCAGCTATAATTATTTGAAAAAATTGAACTTAATTCAATATAGGCATTTTGTTAATGAAATTAATGGTGATAAAATTGGAGGACTAAAGAGACAATGTAAAATTAAGGAAATAAAGATACAATTTTATATAAGATTAAAAGACCTAATGTGTGACTATACATGAAAAATTCTGATTAAACATCGCAGAAGAAGCTTCCTTCTTGAACATTTCTTCAATCAGCTTTTTGTACAGTGGTCTTGAACAGTAGGACATATAACTTTTGATCCATGGAGAAATACAGAAACCCTCCAACTGAATGAGTCACAAAGGAACCAAAACTCGTCCCCACAATACAGTGCCAAGCCGGACCATATGCCCCATCAAACTCCTGCAAAATTTCCATCCAGCCAACCAAATCCTTTGACTAATCATTCACACTAACACATTTTGAAATGGCAACAAGAAATCTAACCAAAAAGCCATTCTTTTTAATCCAATATTTGAAACTAAAGAAATGGTTAAGATTCCTAACCTTCTTCAGGGCAAGGGCAAGAGTCTTGGATGTGAACTTCTCCATACTATCAAGCGCCTTTCTGGCACAATCCACGGCATGGATCTGCATAAACGGTGGCATATCAGCAGAAACCACTTTGACCCCATTAACTGCAAACACGTCTCCTAAATCCACCTGTGAGCCGCAGAATGATCTTCTTCTACCACTACTTAGAGCCAGTGAAACAGAGGGCCTCTTAACATCATCCCCAAATAGACCCCTACTACCATTAAGCTCTACACAAGAATCATTCACCTTCTCATTCGTCAACACACCCTGAAGTTTCCTCCTTTCCAAATCTTGAATAGATTTCTGAGGTCTCTCCTTGGACGTTTTCTTGGCTGGCTTATACTCTTTTTCAAGCTTCGGAGGAAGTTGAGGGTGATGGGTCTTGGAGGAATGAAGAATGGCAGAGGAAGTCATGGACTTGGCCTGCAAATGGGAGTCTAAACAGGCAGGAGGAGGCTGAGGATGAAGGGAATGGTTGTGATTTAAGTTGAGGGAAGAAAAGCGGTGAAGCAAAGAAGAGGGTTTGGAGGTAAGAGGGAGATCTGGTTTAGGGGAAGGGGCAGAAGTAAAGGAGGTGGTGGATGTGGAATCCACGGAGGAGGACAGAGGACCTGCTAAGTTACGGCGGTGGTGGGCGGAGCGGTGAGCCATGGGGAGGAAAGGAAGAGAAGGAGAAGAAAGAGGTGGGCTTTGTCGGGAAGTGTCAGGGAGAGATGATATTGATAAAGGATGAGAGCATATCTGGGTCTTCTTCTTATTTTTAGGGTATGGGGTTAGGATTTGGGAGAATTGTGAAGGGAAATGAATGAAGAGCAGTGTGCGGTGGCTTTGGTCACTTCATACCTCTGAAGGACAAAGGGAGAGGGGCGAATGGTGAGATCTTGTGAGTTCATAGCCGTTGGATTCAATCGTGTGCCCCGGTTCCACGACAACACAATCCCTGTGAATTGCCCATTACAGCCGGTGTATTTGGAGACCAAGTAATATCAAAATATATATATAATTCATATTTTATAATTCATACTATATTTTTATGTGATCAACTTGTGAGTTTTTAAATATATTATTAATATTGTCGGCACATATATATTATTAATATTAACTTCCACACACACACACGCATTTTTGTTACCCTAAACAATGACATCACTTATAATTTATTTGTTTTCTTAGGCATTACGTCTAAGTATCACACCTACAATATTTTTCTTATTAAATCACGTATATTATGAAAATAGAATTATTTATTGCTATTACTTTATTATGTATTTATTTACACATGTATAAAGATACTTGTAAAGAGCATAGAAGAGTCAGTATTGGTTTATTTTATTTTGACCAACAAAAAGTATTCCTTTCTTATTTGTCAGGCTCACTGTCAATGAATGGTAAGAAAAATGGGGAGATAGAAGAGAAATAATTATCAAAAAGTCTCAATAAAATTTTAACAACTTATAATGATAAGTCATAGAGTAAAGATGACAATTTCTGAGACTTGTTTTTAGATTGTTTTCCTTGTTTGGGATTTCATTGTAATTCTTCCTAAAAAATACCTGAGTTTTTTGTAATGTCAATTTTCTCAAAAATCACTTTAAAATTTCAGAAATAAAAATAAATATAAAATATCAAAATTCTAACAAAATGCGTTATTTATAAATTATGAATACTCAGTTTCAGATTTTATGCAAATTCACGCATAAAATTTCAAATATTTTTAAAGACTAACAGCTTCAACCCGTTAATGTCAACGGTATAATAATGATTTTTTCTTTTTGATAAACCAATAATGTTGTCAAGTGTTTAACTCGTACTCGTGTGTGTATGACAAGGATTGTACCTGGGTTTCTCAACTTGCCCATCCCAGGCAGCCCTTCCAACTAGGAGAATTGAACAATAATAAATAAATAATAATTCTTATTTCCAAGAGATTCCTATTATCTCACTTTTCAAAGGAATTGATGTCTTTCGATTGGAAGATTCGCTTGAATTATAGATCCACACAAGTTGTATTTCTCCTTACACAATTGACTGCGTCAATCTTGTAAAAGAAACAGAAGAGATTCTAATCCTTTGTGCCTCTGAAATTGACACAGGCATGCTCTGGGCTCTGTCTCAGATTGCTCAGCTCTGAAAATTAGATCCCAGTCTGGATTCTGGTATGACAAATGCTTTTCAGTTCCAGGGACTAGGGTGGCGAGCATCTCTGAAAACAGAAGTTCCACCAGACGCAGCTGGGGAAGGAGATGACGCAATGTAACCTGTGCCTGACACAGAGACCGAAACTGCAGCTGGATTCATGGGATTGCCTTGATGTGAAAGTGCAAAGCGTGATGGACTTCCAGTCACCCCCATACTTGCTCTGGAAGGCTGTGAAACCTTCAAATCGAAATGAAGCAACAAAGCATCAACATTTCATCCTACTATCTAACCATTGGGAAACTCAGATGAACTTGCTTTCAGGGTAAAGAAGTGAGGTATCCTGAAGAGTATCCTTAAGATGTATTTATGGGTTTAAATTAGCCCCATCCCTCACCTCTCAGCTTCACATCACTCGCTCACTCCGTTGAACATGCTATGATATAGTCAAGTATAATCTATATTGTACCCGGCAGGATATATGCATGTATGTCTGTCTCAAGGAAGTAGGTTCAAACATACCATGAGCAAGTTTGCAGACAGCAGCGAGTAAGTTGGCTACATAACCCAAAACTTCTGCCATTTTTAAATGAAATTCACCAATTTAACAGCTCTGTCATTACTTAAATGAACCTTAGTGGGCTTGGATTCTCAGAAATCATTTAATGTTCTGTCAGTTTTTGCAGCACAAGCAATTAACAATAACATGAACTCTATTAAATCTACCCAAGATGAACATTCTGCAGGCAGCAACCATTTCAGATGTTCATATATTCATGTCAGACACCAAATCTGAAATCAAGTTCCACAAACAAAGCTTTGAAATTGTGAAAAATCATTGATGAGATACTGCTTTTAGCAGTGAGCAACATTACCATGTTTTGTTGAACACTAGGCGTCCTCCTATGAGGGGATTCCGAAGGTGAAATGCTACTCATCCAATACGCATTACGAGAGTGCATGGTATGGTTTGAAGGATCATCAGTCTCACTCCCTTCCACATCACCACCACCAAGATTTGCTTCTGAACCCACTCTTGGAGTCATATGCCTGGTCAGTGAACCACTATCGTTTGTTCCATCAGCCTGAAATGGAACAGAAGGGCGCAAGCCAATCCCTTGCCCACTAGTTCGTCTTTTTAATTCTTCCTCCACATTTAAGATCTGTCATCCATAACAGCATAAAACAGTTTAAAAAACCAAGCATGGCCACATATCAAGAACTAGAACATGTCAAAATCTAAATGAGTAGTAAACATGAAAAAAGAGATGAACCAGTGGTTACCTGCTTCAACGCTATAACGAGATTATGTTTCTTTGCATTCAAAACTTGTAACTTATCCTCAACTTCTTTTTTCCTTTTCTCTTTGTCATTTAATCTACCTTCTTTGTCTCCGATCTGGCATCACCTCCAATGGTGAGCGCATATAACAAACTAAATATTGCTAAAAACACCTGAATTAAGCGCTTAAAACCCACACTTAAACCATAAATCAATTTCAAGATTTCCATAATTAAAAGATTCCCAAAATCCAATTTTTTTCCTTTTTAAAATCGATCCCAAGCAAACCATTTATTATGACAGCTAAAATAAAAAGAACTATTAATTAAGTATGAAACTAAAGAAGGAAACGAAACTGGTAGAGTAAGTTTTCTTACCGTCTCGGTCTGCTTTGTTACTAAAGACGCATCGCGGTCGCAAGGTTCAGACGCCTTCTCCACAGCATCAGTCTTAGCATCAGCTAACGAATCAAACCCATCAACTGTTTTCTTGATGGAACCATTACAGGGTTCCGGTTCCTTGTGATCTTCGCCCTCCCGCGAATGACCCGCTCCATTATCACTGACCTTCTCTGATTCGGGTTGAATCGCAATCGATGGCCTATCAATTACGGGAGCCTCATTTTGACCGTTAGATAGAGAGCCAAGGTTAGGGATCGAGAGGGTCGTGGTGACCGCCCCGTCGGCAAGGAGGCGGGAGAGGGCCTTTGAGCGACGCGCAAGAAGCGATTTGAATTCTTTGAGAGAAATTTTCGGAGTTGGCATGAGCCATCGACGAGGCACGTCTGGTACTCTGTGGAGATTCCCTCTGTAAAGCGAAATGGCCACCATCTTCACCAAGTTTTCTTCGTCCCCAATCAACCCATAGTTGAATCGCTATATAGATTTCCATGACAGTAAGAATGGCACCACTCGTTGGAAAAAAAGAAACTTTACAGAATTACTGATGATTAAATTATTTTCAAAAAAAATTATAACAACTTTTGTACGTTTGGAATTTTATCGGAACATTTACTTTGAAAGGGGGGAAATTAACCTCGGTGGTGAAATATAAGTAATGCATAATATATAACACTTAATCCTATTTTGAAAACGACAAGGTTTACTCTCAAAATTTAATGGAGCGTTGTAGAAAAATATCTAGTTGACTAATAACAACTCAGCCAAAAATATCTGTGGAAATAGAACTCAATCGGCACATGTGATCTCCATTTGATAGCTGAACCTTGGTATTGAAGTGTTTGAGAATTGAACTCTTTCAATCATCGGTAACATGGAACATAACCTGTTCATTGAACGCAAAGATCATCTTGTTTTCTACTGGTTGCTATGGAATCTAAAACCAAATGATCAAACAGATAGGAACTCAGTAGTTGGACGTGGACGGTTCCTCCATTAGGTGAGGAAAATTCAAGAACATCTCATTTTCTTGATCAAGCATGGCTTCTACGAATGAAATCTCAGAGGATGGCGATGAATACCGAACGTCACTGCTTGGGACTTGCTGTGACGTCACCTCATTCCTATTCTCGTTCATTGTCGGATTTTCATTCTCTAGGTTATCAGCAGCAGATGGGAAAACATCCTCAAGAAGAAAATCATTCCAACAAAAGGGCAAAGACAAGCCTTCGTGGGCAGCATTGGAACAAATAGAAGTAGACAGTGATGAAATTGACGACGACGACGACGACAGGAAGCCTTCCCCAAGTATGGCTGCTGGTATCGTCTCCTTCTCCATCACTTCTCTGTTACTGAAAAGGCTACTTTCTGTTGGCGGTTCTAATTTTGGTGAAGGTAGCTTCGGAAATGGGTCTGATCTGAACAATACTGTGTTCTTGAAGTCTTTACTGAGAGACCCAATTCGGGTACTTGGCTTCTGATTACCCCCAATGTTTCCATAGTCAGCTAGGAGTTTAGAGAAGGGCTTGTGGGTGATAGGGTCTATTCCCATGTCAGTGAGCTTCTTCTTCAGTTTTGTGTTCCAGTAATTTTTAACATCGTTGTCTGTTCTCCCAGGGAGTTGTTGGGCAATCATAGACCACCTACACCATACGACCATTCTTTCACACTTACATACAAAACATGAAAAACTGCTATGGTTATTGGCCTATTATGGCTGTCATATTTGCTTAGAAACAGAGCTAACAGAAATTCTTAATGGAAAAGTATACGCTGCTCCAATTCTAAAAGGCTATTTCTTTTTTAACCGAAGTTGCAGCACAGAACAACTGGGTTGCTGGTAACAGATCTTCTAAGTTACATACTGCGAAAAGTAAAGTGCAAGCAAGGAATTCTTGACAAGAAAATGAATCACATATAGATCACAGTTGCAATGCATGTGTGTCAGAAGAAATGTTGCATCTTTACTCACTTTCAATTTTTTTAACCTAATGGTCAGTGTTTGATCCTAACAAGTGATGTAAGAGTAAAAATAAAAAGTATCTGCTTGCTGTTATAAAAATCCCAGACTCGATCTTCATAAAAAGGGGGGACCCAAAGAAGATGTTGTGGACTTGTAATGGTACTCCAAAACACTAGGAAACTGAGAGGATGTCATTATGAAATGATTTGCCCTTGCAACATAATAATGAGAAAGCAAATATCAGATGAAGAAACCAGAGGAGGCCGCACAGGATTGCAAAAGAAAGAAATTTATATTTCATAATTAAGAAGAAATGTATGGAGCAGCTTATAATAATTATGACCTGCTTCCAATGGCTGCGTGAAGCTTAAGAATCAAATCCTCTTCTTGGGGTGTGAAGATATCTTGCTTAAGATCTGGCCTGAGGTAATTAGTCCACCTGAGCCTGCAACTTTTCCCACACCTCTTTAAACCTGAAAATGACCTCAATGCAAGTTGTAGAATTGAGTAAAATGTTGAAATCCTGATTAGTGACCCATTTCATGTTTAACAAAAAGGCTCTCTCTTAACCTGCTTTTTTGGGAACAGAGGTCCAGTTACCAGATCCATGCTTTGAGACAAATGCGATCATCTTTGCATCTTCTTCTGGAGTCCAGACGCCCCTTTTAACACTGAGCTTGTCGCAGCATGGCGGCCTCACCATTTTCTTTTCTGTTGATCCAAAATCACATTAGGATTTAATTGCTTAAAGAAAACAAGGCTTGAAAAGGAAACGTAAAGATAAGAAAAGAGAGAGAGGACTTGTGTAACTTCAAAATTAACTTGTCCTGCAAATTAACAGTCTCTTGGAGATCGAGGGAGAAGATGGGGTTTAAAGATATCACTTATTAGTGTGGAAGCAAGAAAAGCGTGGGTGGTTTTTACAGATTAAACTTCATTTGCATGATTATTGGTACCTGTTATCACAACAAATTAACAGCTTCGGATAAAAGAGGATGAAAATAAAAACACATAATCCTCCTCTCTTTGGCACTTTGGGTCAGGTCTAAATCCGGTGAATTATTTGGTTAAACTTAGATTAAATTTAAGTCCAAAAAACTATTATTATAGTTCAGTTTAACTGGTTTCTGATCTTTTCTCACAAGTTTGATGAGAGTATTTGTTTAAACTTTAGATTCAACTAATTTAAATGGATTATATTAAAGCCGTTTCCAATGTGTTCTTCAAGTTTGAGCCATCATTTTCGCGTGATATCAATCCCCAAACCATGTGCATATTTCAATTGTCAGTCGCAATCGCTTCTTTATACTTCAACATCCGTTAGTTTGTTTACTTTATATTCTACCGCCCCTTGTTAAATTTCTTAAATTACCGACTCGCTAAACGGCAAGTATCCTGCAAAATCAACCCAAATGGAAATGTCTACCAATACTATGTGAATTGGTTTTTTTATAACACTCTTTTTAATTATATACATTATAACTACTGCTTCATAGTATTATAAATTTGAAAGATAAAATAAACTCACATTTTATATTTGTAACTGACATAAAGTCAGTAAACCTCTTGCGTAATTTATATATATATGGGAAAATTTCACAAAAGAAATTGATAGTTATTAAATCTCAAATCAGGTTTGATGATAACATTTTAATAAGTTTTGAAAACACTATATTTGCAAACGACGACATATTTGTGTTTGAATTTTTTATTTGGGATTTAGTAATTTCAAAATTCTTTTTGTGGGGTTCTTCTTTTACATATTTAGGACTAGGGGTATTATTATAAATTGTCACCTGGTTTTTATAAAATACTACTTTTCATCCTTAATTTGAGTAAATTAAAAAAGCTTGTTAGGTTAATTACTTTTAATAATTAGATATTGTCTTTTCTAAAATATCTTTTCTAATTATATGTATTAGCTAGAAGCCTAGAACTACCAGTTGATGGAGTTTTTATATGTGCAACTACAATAAAAACTGCTTTAAAAAATAAATAAATATTAAAGATAAAGTAAATGACAATTGAAATGATATTAACTCCTACTTATTCATCATCTATGTTAGGTCAAATGTTCTATGGATACAAGTTTTTTAATAAACCAAACTCTTTCTTTTTTTACTCTGGCCCTGAGAGTTATTTATTTCGATTTCTATCCTTATACTTGTAATAGATATTGGTATTTATCCAAATTTCATTTTCTCATTATCAGTTGACAAGATGGAAGCTATTCTATTCGGATGTTATATTTATGTTAATCGTATGTATTAGTTAAAAGCCTAAAACTACCATTTAATAGAATATTTAGTATGTGTAACTCCAACAAGGATTACTTTAAAAAAAAAAAAAGATAAATATGAGAGATGAGGTGAATTGGGATATTATATTTATGTTAATAATATTTAACACGTGTAATTATAATAAAGACTAATTTGAAAAAAATAAATATAAAAATAAAATAAATTAAAAATTTATATTTATGATTAAATTAAATATCAAATTAGTTCGGAAAGTTATCATTTTTATTGTGTCGAATTCAAATCGATTTTTCTGAGGGAAAAACCGAAGGAGCTGAAAGGCAAGATTAGTGAGCTCAAGTTAGGGACAAAGGCCGCCACTTCCAAAAACGAAAAACAACCGACGCTCACGGCCCATGTCTTGTTTGTTTCAGGAAGAAGGACGAAGCCTAACAGGCCGAAGTGACCCCAACATTTTACTACCACTTTTGTTTTTTCTAATACAAAATTATTGTTACAGCTGACTTTGACCTCGTCTTCTTCGGAGGGAAAAACAAACACTTATCGTAATCATGAGAGGCTTTCGTTTAAAGAGCCTCTCGTCAAGGTCTCCCCACGAAACACCTGGTCAGTTCCCAATAGAAAACAAACGACCGTCGTCGAAGTGGACGCGTCAAGCGCGTCGCTTTTGCTCCTCACCCCTTTCCACGTGGCATGCACACGCGACGGTCCTTCATGACTAAGAGTCTAAGATCATCCTGCTCTGTCAATATTTTACGGTCAACACAACCCTGCTTTCACCTCCTGATAGGATATAGTTAGGATAAAAAAACTACTCCTCCAACCCTAAATATAAAACCCTTACATATATTTAGATTTTTATATACACTTATATAATATATATAAGAGTCTTATATTTAGAATAGGAAGAGTAATTTTTTAATCCTTCTATAGTTTTGAATTTACTGTAACTCGGTTTTTAAAATTTTAGCTCACTTCCCAATAGAAAAAAACTACATGGCATTAGGGTTAAATTTTAGAAATTAAATTACAAGTTTTCAAACTTTATGAACAAAATATTAATTTTTCCTTATATTTTCCTTTCTTTTGAAAGGTGGGATCCTGTTTGTCACTTTGGTTTTAGCGGATTTCAAGATCACATAAAAGCGCAAACTTTCGATCCACCGATAAAGAAGAAAAAAAAGCTGTATTTTTTCACATCAGCTGCTGTTTATTTTATTTCGGGGACAATCTTAAAAAATTTAATTAATAGTTAAAAAAATTATATAATAATCAGTGTAAACATGAGAGTCCACTAGGACTGAGGGGGATGGGAACTTTTTCCTTTGCTCTAAGACCCCGGAAAGTAATGAAAAGACAGGTCACTCGGATGCCGGGGACGATCGATTCTGATATTACATATATAGCTTCCAGGTTCCAGCATGCATGCCAACTAATACAGTGAATACAGAATTATATTATTATTATTATTCGGTGGGCTTATCTTATTATATGTTGTGTGTGTAATTGAACCTTGGCAGTGTCACAAAGCCAAACTAAATTTAAACCAGAAATTAATAAATAATGACAACTTGAGACTTTCCAGCGGAACATACTTATGCACACATCTGGCCTACCCTTTTACTACGCCTCCCCCTCCTTGTGCCCCACTTCGGATATTACGATGCTTCCTTCTCCCATCCTTCCAATTAATGCTCCTTCCTGTCCCATTGCTTATCCACATTCATCAGGATTCTCAACGTAAGACTTTTCTAGTTCTTCAATTTTATTTTTAAAAAATACAAACTAATATCAATACTTCATTCTAATGACAACGGGAAGATACACATCATATCTTTTCAGGATCTTACAGCTAGTAACCATTCCTCTTAAGGCTTTCTTACATATGATGTTATGAGTTTGAGTTTGTATATAGAAAATGGAAACGTGATGAATACATGAATTACGGGGCAAAAAAACAATACCATACTACCTCCGGTCCTAAATACAGGAACCAATTGACTGATTTAAGTAAATTAAAAAAATAAGTTAAATTAATTATTTGTAATAAATAAATGCCGTCTTTTTAAAAATATCCTTAGTAATTAAGTTTATTGGTTAGAACTACCATTATTAGAATGAATATCTTGAGAAAAAAAAGAATAAATATGAAAAACAAAACGGATTGGGGTCTTATATTTAGAATCAAAATAAAAATCAAACGAGATTTTATATTAAGGATTGGAGGCGGTACCTAACTATTTTTTTTTACCAGACATTTATATAAGCCTGGGATCTCGTTCACATGGCAGGTGGTATTAGAATTGGGATAGCTTGCCACTCAACATACATTGATATTTGTCAAGTGACAAATATTCCAAATGTTGTACAACACACGAAATTAAGTCCAATTATTGGCATGATTTATGAGCAGCAAGCCTGGCCACCAAATTTTCTCCGCGTCCTTGTCATTTGAATGAAAATGCAGAGTGAATTGGGCATATTTGCATTAAGAATGTGGGGGTGAGGACAATGGAATGAGAACATTATGAGTGGGGGGTGAGGAAAAGTGAAAGGCATTATAAGAAATAAACGTATATACAAATACAGGTGAAGTTGAAGTGGCACGGGTCAAAGAAAAGCAGAAACATGTGGAGGAAGGCCAAAAAATGGGTGAAAACGCAAAGTGGCTACAACTGTCCCATTTGGCCATTAGGCGTCCACTTTGGGACAACCCCAACAACAAAACTCAGTGCGCTCAACTGTGTCCGTTTCAATTCTCTTCTCATTACCTCAACCTTCGTTAAACCATTCCACCAACCTCTCCCTCCAACAAAATGCTTATTTTCTTCACCTTTTTATAAAGTTATGTTAATTACTTTTATAATTATATTCGACACACAGCTCCTATATTGTTTCTTCTTCGTGCACAAAGATTTTAAGATTTGCAGGGCAATTATTAAGAAGCATGTCTTGGGAACTTGTCGTTTCAATTTTCAAAGATGGTCCTGTGATCCTAAACCAATCTCATTTGGATTTGTCCATGTGAGTAAATCTAATTATATTAGTGTCATTAATTAATGTGCATTCTGTCAGTTTTTTACTTGACATCTATACTTTTTTCCCCTTTTTTTACTGATTTATTTAATTTCATCTTTTTGGCACCATTAGCGCTATTGAAAATAACCATGCCAACAAAGTAAAGTTAAAGAATTTAATAAAAAAGATGTAAGTATCAAATCAAAAATTGAAGAGAAATATAGATATATGCGAAATGATTTTCTCTTGATATAGAAAAGAGTAAGCAGTTTTTATCAATATTAACTAATTTTGAAATATAAAAAATTAATTAAAAAATGTCTTGTTGGATAGTAAAATTGAATTCCCATTTCTCTGCTTCGGCGATCCAATATAATTGAATATTCTAACGCGTCCCTCTCTCCATGCCGTGCAAGAAAGTCCTATG